CCTTCAACAGTTTTCTCCACCTGTGCATTGATTTTCTAGTGTATCACCCATTGGATATTTATTGGGTACTCACTGTGGGCAAGGCCACCATGGTAGGTATAAAAACGTATTCCTCTAGTAAGGTAGATAAAATATGTACAAAAGGTTTATGATTTGTGTAACAACAAAATAAAAAGTGACGTATCAGTAAAGGTATACACATTGATTGCTTTGGGAGTTCAGTTGAGAGAGGGATGACTTCCAGCTTTCCAGGAAGAGGAGGGTTAGGAAGAGCTTTGTAAGCATGCCATTTGAGCTGAGATTTGAAGGATTAGGACGTGTGGATATGGGTGTGGGGAGGGGAGGGGAGGGCATCCCAGGCAAAAGTAACAACTGCATGAATAAAGGCATGAAAAACACTGAGTAGCTGAGTTTAACAATAGTGTGAAGTTCAAAAATAGTCCAAACTCTAGATCCTTAGAAAGTTTACAAAGAACTTTCACAAATACATTTTTAACTTTACCCTTTGAGGTAAATAGTATTGTCGTTGTTGTTCTCATCCTGCAGATGAGGATACAGAGGCTCAGAGCATTTAATTGACTTTTCCAAGGTCATATGAGTTACATATGTAGTAGGTGGCAGATCCAGGTCTTTTTTACTCCAAGTACCAAGTAGAAGATGAGGTTAGAATGGCCCAGTGGGACCAGGATGTGACTGGAAGGCTTGGATATTTGGCCTTTTAATCTGAAGTTTTTGGAGCAGGAGAATGTCATGATGTGAGTTGTGCGTCAGGAGTTAATCTTGCAGCAGGGTATAAGTTGGATTGGCAAAGAGAGAGACATGACTTTAAAAGACTGCTGAGGAGTTCATCACAATCGAGATAAGAAGGAATAAACTCTGTAAACTAACAATGACAATGGGAATGGAAATAGCAAGATCTGAGAGAGCTTAGGGATGTATAGGATACGAGAGAGGGAAGGATATAAAATGACTTTGGAATTTCAAACTTTTGGTCATTTGAATTCTGATACTGTGTGTGTGTGTGTGTGTGTGTGTGTGTGTGTGTGTGTGTGTGTGGTTAGAGGAGGAAGAATAGCTTATGTCAGAAGATGATGACCTTAATTTTAGGTGAGAGAATACTTTTAGATACTTGAAGGATTTTTGTAGGGCAGCAGCTTAGCCCTGATAATTTTAGGAATCCATGTAGGCCATCCTTCTGGGACAGGAGAAGATGGGGGACTTCTGAAGCACTACCTCAAAGCCATCTCCCCAGTGGAGATAAGTGGGGGTGGAAAGAGACTTGACTTGGGCTTGTCATACACAGTACAGTGTACAGATGATGTGTTACAGAATTGTATACCTGAAACCTGTATAATTTTATTAACCAATGCCACCCCAATCAAGTTGGTTCTTTCTAAGGATTTTATTTTTTTAATTTTAGAGAAAGGGAGGGAGAAAAATATCAATGTGTGATTGCTTGTTGTTCACTGTCTACTGGGGACCTGGCCCACAACCTAGGTATATGCCCTGACTGGGAATTGAACTGGGGACCCTGTGGTTCTCAGGCCAGTGCTCAATCTGCTGAGCCACACTAGGCAGGGCCAATTCAATTTTAAAAACAAAACAAAACAAAAAAAAAACGCTATCTCCCCACTCACCAGCCTGTCTCTTGAGGGAGGCTGTCATGGGACAGTTTCTCATTGCCCTCTAGGTTCTGATGAGGAATGAGGGTTCAGTTACAATGCTTTTTTTAGAAGATCAGAGAACAGATGGACCAGGCTAAGGAATAAGGTAGATTGCCTGTAATCTGGTTTTTCATGGTCTTGCCTAAGTGGTAGGTAAGGAGAGGTAAAGATACTGTCCTCCCACTAAGGGTAGAATGGGCCAGGTTAGAAGAGATGAGACTCCTTGGGATCTGGTAGCACTTGAGATTGTGTGGGCCACATTAAAGGACAAAGACCTCTCAGGATCTGCTAGTGCAGCTCTTGCCTGAGTAGTGGGAGAGGAGTAGGAACTCTCTCATTATCCTACTTGTTCATGAGGCTGGGTGGGTTGGGCCATGGGAGAAAATAGATTCCCTGGTATCTGGCAGCATACATTTTTGGAAGGTTAAGCAACAAGAGCTAGGATTGAAATCAGCCATAAGATCGGTGCTTTGTTATTATTATTTCATTTGTTGAGGCCAAGTGAAAGGCCACTTAAAACTGAAAGTAATTACAAAGCTGAATTTAACCGCTATGACTGCCTCACTGATCTCTTCCCTGCTGTTCCAAACTGACTCTGGCCTCTTGCATGCTCCTTCTTCTCCTACTCCATCAGCTTCCAGCCAAGGGGATAAAATATCTAGCTGCTCCTGGTAGCTAACTTGTACCTCTTAAAGTGCCTCTATTGAAAACCCTGGTGTGTTCCTATAAAGAAGCACCTAGTAAAGTTTGGGCAAAATTTGCAGTACAGAGGGGAAAAGTAAAAGTTATTTTAGAAAGGGCTGCAAGCTGATTTATTGAATGCACTGCTGTGTGAATACGAAATTGGAATTGATGTGTCACATGTTTGAATCATGAATACTCAAATGTTAGAAAAAATTTCTCTACATGCAAAGTTTTTAAGGTAGACATGATGTCCTGTTAGTTGACAAGTTAAAGGTATCATTCTCAATGGCCCTGGCTTTCTGCCAGCAGGAGTGACTGATAGGTCCTAAAACAATTCAAGGCCTGCTTGCCAAGAAGTTTCTTAAAACAATGTGGGCAACTTCGAAATGCTGAATCCTTCTGTCAGTGAAAAAAAAAAACAAAAAACACCTGTTGGCCTCTTATACAGAGTAAAACATGTATTTCTAATAAAGCCACACTTGCACATCCAATTTATAATTCCTGCCAAAGTTGGCACACTTGATCTGCCACATAACACAGGATTTTGGAGCCATTGAGTCCTTCAAGATTGACCCCATTCAGACCCTTTAACCCCCTTCTGAGACTAACAGTGATGCCGTACTGCTGTTATGACTCTTTTGGGGTACCATCAGTGACAGTTTTATCACTGATTCTGGCAACATCATTGTGGCCCTTGATATTAATCTGTGTCTTGTTTTATTTGACAGACATTTCACACATCCAAGTGGTTATAACCTATATTGTTAATTGTATTGTAAAAATTGATATTTTGAATATGTGTAATACTTCTCTTGCTTGTTAGGGATGTTCCCAGTGGAGAAATCCCACAATTTGAATAGTGGTAATGGGGCCAGTATACAGCCAGCTCCACACTGGATTGCTCAGCCCAGCCACCATGGTTATCAGTAAAACAGTATAGGCTGCTAAGGAAAGGGAAATGGGTGGAAGGGAAGATCTCAGCCTTGATTAAAGAACTAGTAGAGACAGGAGTGCTTTAGGAACCTATCCAACATATTGCATGAATTGCCCCCCCACTCAGGGCACCAAGTTGTAATGAGACAGTTGCACCACATGTATCATCAACTAACAATTGTGTAAACTGGCACCTGTGGGAAAAATATGTGGCCAGTAGACAAAGGCTCACCTTGGGTTTGTGAACATGGTGCATATGTTAGAATATGGTTATATTTGCTGTATTTAGAGTCTTAAATAATTAATCTATTATGAAAATTAACTCAGGAGAAACTGTGAAACATTCTCTCTATATTTTTTCTACCTTAATTCTATGTTCTCCATTTAATGAGGGTTGGACAGCCTCAACTTTAAGACTATTACAGAATACCTAGGCAGAATCACTCTTTCTAAGCAAGCCTGTTACCATCGCTGGGATCTAAACAGGCAATTAAGTGTTCTGATTTTAACCTCTTAACTCTTTTAATGCCTCCTAAGCTATAAACAGGGATGATGATAATATCCATGTTCTTTTAAAAACAAATTTTTTTGAGGGTAAGGGAGGGAGAAAGAGAGAGACAAACATCCATGTGTGAGAAAAATATCAGTTGGTTGCCTCTCACACACCCCCAAATGGAGACCTGACCCGCCATCCAGGCATGTACCCTGACTGAGAGTCAAACCAGTGATCCTTTGGTTTGCGGGCCAGTGCCCAATCCACTGATCCTCACCAGCCAGGGTACTGTGTTCTTTAACAGAGGAGGATGCAAAGAAAAAAGTAGAAAATAAATTTTTCACAAGCAAACTGTAATGTGTGTAGTATGCATCTATTTGTACCAAAATTGTGATTTAGCTCTTCTCCAGATCCACCATTTACTGTGTACATTCATAAGTAGTAAAGTGGCTAAAAGACAGGAAGTAGTAAGATGAAAACAGAGCAAAATGCTTTGTATACAGGAAGAGTTATTTTTCTCACAGACTTTGAAGATTGAGGGGAGAAAAGCAGTTTGCAGATCAGACATTAAAATCAGCTTGTAACTGCCTCTGCCATCATATCTATTGTTCCCTAGTATGTGCACTACCATCAAGGCTTCCTGATCACCTTCTGGGACATCTGTGTGAAGGGAATAAAGGACATTTTCTATGTCTTAGGGGCACTGAACTAGAGATTTTAATAGAATGTTAGAAAAAGAGGTATAATATCACAGATTTCTACGTTTTGCAGATAATGCTGTAGATCCAGATGTTTCTGCCAGGACAATCTTTATAGATGTTGAGGAGGTCAAGGATAAATTTTGTTTGACCTTTACTGATGATGGATGTGGAATGACACCTCATAAATTACACCGAATGCTCAGGTAAAAATGTCTTCATTCTTTGTCTCTTGTCTTGAGTTCATGAACAGTAGTTAAGGCTTAATGATTTTCTTTAATATTTTACTTTCCCTTTATTCATTCAACAAATATTTATCGAGAGTCTATTATGTGCCAGGGTACTGGTTATAAAATAGACACTTTTTGCTCTCACAGAATGTACAGCCTAGCTGGCAATTCAGACAGTTAAGCAGTAATCATAATAAAAATGATAAATATAATGATAGGAAAGTATAGAATGCAATAGGACAAGTCAGTAGGGGAACCCAGTCTAATCCAGGAGGTCAGGAAAAGCATCATAGATGAAGTGATATTTAAACTGAGATCTAAGGGTGAGTAGTAGAATTTAGGTAAAGGACAGGGGGCAGGGGATGAGAGTTCAGGCAAAGATAAGAGCAAGTGTAAAGATGTGAAGGCCATCACTGGTCTGAGACCTTCTCTAATTTATATTCACCTAAATTTACTCTTAGATTAGAAGTATTGGAATTTGGATGATCTTTGGATTAAAACTATGAATGTGCCTTGGCATAATCAAGCCCTATGAAAGATAAATAGAAGGCATTTATGCATGCAGTCTTTGAAGGTTTTGCAGTAGAATTTCAGTCAGGAAATTATCTTTTCCAGCTGCTGAGGCTGGTGATATAGAGTTTGTCTAATTACTTGAAAAGGTTTGCAATTGAGAATGTAAGTTTGTACTTCATTATATTCACATGTCACTCAGTGAAAGATGAGTATATTCTTAACTCTTTCCTTGTCTCTTCCTTTTTTAGCAGATGAGATTGATTGCTTTCCATGTGGCTTCCTGAGCTAGTGTGTGAAGGATGAGTAACAATGGAGGGTTTCAATGGAGGAGGGAAAGGGCTTCAAAGTATCAAAATAGAAAACATTCATTTTGTTGTATTTCTCTTTGTAGATATTCTAATTCTGTAACCCTGTTTGTAGGAAAATCCCTTTGATCCATCAAAGAAATGAAATGAAATTTGGGTGTAACAAATTATAAATTTGGTTATGTTTTACCACTCAGCAGTCTATGTACCTTGTGTACCTTCATAATTACAAGAATGTTTGAGGACAGTGTCTAGAAGTGATATAAGAATGTGGCCAGTATGTTGGTGAAGTTATGGAGCTGGCCCTATCTTTTAACTTTTATCTCCTAAAATTAATATTTTATATTAATGTAAATACAACTTTAGATGGGATGGAACCAAACTATGTATATGTCTAATTCTATATGTGCTAGTTTTTTTCTAAATCACTTACCTTCTTACTGACTCCTTCCAGTCACACATTATACCAATGATGTGGGTGTCAGATAGTGGGCTCAGCAGATGTTACCACTTTCCATTTTGCATGTGGAAGTACATTGATGAAAGTTGGCCCTTATAGTTATTTCCAAGGCAGGAGAAAGAAAGAGGATGATTTCAAAATAATTGCAACAATTTTTGTTATAGATTCATTCAACATATTTTTACTGAACACCTATGTGAAAGTCACTGGAGATAAAGTGGTGAACCAAACAGACATGGTTCTTGCTCTCAAGGGGCTGACAGTCTAGTGAAAAATATAGAAAAGGATTGACTAGTACTAATATAGCTAAATAGGCTATCCCACCTAGTGGTAACTGCCATAAAGGAAAAGTACAGTTTCTATGAGAGAATATAACGGAGGGATCTGCTCTAATTTATGGACTCCAAGAAGGCTTCTCTGAAGAAATGATGTTTGGGTTGAAATATGGAGATATGCATCATTCATTTAAAGTTTCATTTCTTTCCTAAGGAACAAAACAGAGCTAAATAGGCAGAAGCCTTTTAGACATAGCAGGGGTTTTTTTGGCATTATCATGTCGACTATGTCTTCCACTAATCTGAGCTAGAAAATTGTTCCTCATATTTAAAAAATAATTTTAGAGATTTTTTAATGAACCCTGGTTTATGTATATGTGCTGGATTTTGTTTCTGATTTTATCTTAAAACAAACTTGAATCTGTTAGAAGGTCCCATTTATTTAGAAGAGATCATTTAATCCCATCGTAATGTCTACCCAAGGATTCCACTTACCACAATTTCTTTTTTTATTTATTTTTACAAATTTATTTATTTTTAGAGAGGGGAAGAGAGGGAGAGAAACATCAGTGTGTGGTTGCCTCTGGTGTGCCCCATACTAGGGACCTGACCTGCAGCCCAGGCATGTGCCCTGACTGGGAATTGAACTGGCGACCCTTTGGTTCACAGGCCCACACTCAGTCCACGGAGCTGCACTAACCAAGGCTCTTTTTTAAGTAATTGAACTTTAGAGGTACCTTTGCAAGTTATTGTTAAGTATGTTAATTTTTCTGTTATTGGTTTGGGGGCATACTACTTTTATAATTGGAAAAATAATAGAGGTGGCTATACAAACTTATTAAGCCTACAGAAATTCTATTTGATTTGTAACATTTTTATTCTTCTTTTAATTGTATTTTTCGTTGAATATTATTTTGTGTTAGTTTTAGGGATACATAGTGGTTAAACAATCATATACTTTACAAAGTATTCCCACCAAATCACAGTACCCAGCATACACTGTTGTTTGAATATTATAGACTATATTGTCTATGCTGTGGTTTATACCCCTGTGACTACCGATTTGTATTTCTTAATCCCTTCACCCTTTTCACTTCCCCCATCCTCCCTGTGTTCTCTGTTTCTATGAGTGTTTCAATTTTCTTTGTTTATTTTGTTCTTTAGATTCCAGATATAAGTGAAATCATATGGTATTTATCTTGCTCTGACTGACTTAGGTCGCTAGCATAACAAAAAGGAGCATTTCTATACCTGGAAAAGGATTTTGGGGAGCAAATCCAAGAAAATCTCAGACCCATCTCAGTACCATCCTTATTCAGGTACCATTCAAATTCCTCAATGTCACTGCTCCTACCAGCTCTCTCACTATACCCTGCCCTGTTACTAACTTCTGTTCTGGGCACACCCATTCACAGCTTTTTTTTCCTTTTAAATATATTTTATTGATTATGCTATTACAGTTGTCCCATTTTCCCCCCTTTATTCCCCTCCACCTGCCTTCCCCCCCTAGTTCATGTCCATGGGTTGTACATATACGTTCTTTGGTTTCTACATTTCTTTTACTATTCTTAACCTCCCCCTGTCTATTGTGTACCTACCATTTATGCTTCTTATTCCCTTTACCTTTTACCCGTTCTCTCCCCTCCCCCACCCCACTGATAACCCTCCATGTGATCTCCATTTCTCTGGCTCTGTTCTGTTCTAGTTGTTTGCTTAGTTTGTTTTTGTTTTTATTTTTTAGGTTCTGTTGTTGATAGTTGTGAGTTTGTTGTCATTTTACTGTTCATATTTTGATCTTCTTTTTCTTAGATAAGTCCCTTTAACATTTCATAAAATACGGGGTTGGTGATGATGAACTCCTTTAACTTGACCTTGTCTGGGAGACACTTTATATGCCCTTCCATTCTAAATGATAGCTTTACTGGATAGGGTAACCTTGGATGTAGGTGCTTGCCTTTCATGACTTGGAATACTTCTTCCCAGCCCCTTCTTGCCTGTAAGGTTTCTTTTAAGAAATCAGCTGCTGATCTTATGGGAACTCCTTTGTAGGTAACTGTCTCCTTTCCTCTTGCTGCTTCTAGGATTCTCTCCTTCATTTTAATCTTGGGTAATGTAATTATGATGTGCCTTGGTATGTACCTCCTTGGGTCCAACTTCTTTGGGATTCTATGAGCTTCCTGGACTTCCTGGAAGTCTATTTCCTTCACCAGCTTGGGGAAGTTTTCCTTCATTAATTGTTCAAATAAGTTTTCAACTTCTTGCTCTTGTTCTTCTCCTTCTGACACCTCTATGATTCAGATGTTGGAACTTTTACAGTTGTCTCAGAGGTTCCTAAGCCTCTCTTCATTTTTTTGAATTATTGTTTCTTCATTTTGTTCTGGTTGAATGTTTATTTCTTCCTTTTGGTCCAAACTTTTTATTTAAGTCCCAGTTTCCTTCCCTTCACTGTTGGTTTCCTATACATTTTCTTGACTTTACTTTTCATAAGCTTCACTTTTTCCTCTATTTTGTGACCATACCCAACCAATTCTGTGAGCATCCTGATTACCATGTTTTGAACTGTGCATCTGGTAGGTTGGATATCTCTTCATTGCTTAGTTGTATTTTTTCTGGAGTTTTGCTCTGTTCTTTCATTTGGATCATATATTTTTATGTTGGTATACCTGTTACAATGTAAGGGGCGGAGTCTTATGTGTTCACCAGGGCAGGGAACCCACTTTGCTGCATGTTGGCACTGTATGTGGGGGAGGGGTCCAAGAGGGAACAATGCAGCTTGCTCAGTTCTTACCGGCTTTCTGTTACTTCCCTGTCTACCCACAATCAAATTGTGCCCTTCTGGTAATTCTCAGGTGGGTGGGTTTGTGTACATTCTAGGACCCCGTGGGTCTCTCCAACAAACTCTCCTGTGAGGCTGGGAGTTTCTCCCACTGCTGCCATCCCCACAGGTTTTTTCAATTAGAGGTTTGAGGCTTTATTTCCCCATGCTGGAACCCTGGGTTGTGCAGTCTGTCTTGCTTCCCAGTTGTTCCTCCCGGTTTATCAACACACAAATGTGGGACCTCCCATCTGCCAGCCACTGCCTTGCCAGGAGTCCTTTCTGTCTTGTCTGCCTGTCTTGGCCCCTTCTACCAGTCTGGATGAATGTTTCTTCTTTAACTCCTTGGTTGTTGGACTTACATATAGTTCAATTTTCTGGCAATTATAGTTGTTTTTTGTTTGTAAATTTGTTGTCCTTTTTGTTGTCTGAGTAGGCACAGTGTGTCTACCTATACCTCCATCTTGGCTGGAAGTTCACCAATTTTTAACATTTCTTATAATCTTTTCCACATTTCTACCTCTTTATGCTAATCTTCCTATTTTGAGACTAATAAACTAGTTATGTAATTGTAGCAACAGTCTCTCCCATAAATGAAGAATTTTGTGAAAATTGAATTAAAAAGGATAAACCCATCATTGACTTTCTTTATGGTTCACAATTAATTCTCTTTAGGTTCTACAGGTTAGTGTGTGAACCAGCTAGTCTATATATTCAGCTGTCTTTTTTCAGCAAGGTGGAAAACCTCTTCTTTCAGATGTCAAGTATTAGCCACAGATCCATGGATTGAAGGTATTTGCAAACTCTTCTCAGAAGTGCGTTTCTTAGTAGTTCTTTTCTAAAAGAACAGCCAGAGAATAGTATGCTTAGCAGTCTTTCATTTTTTCATATTGCATATTACATCACCAATATGTCTAAGAAACAGCAGTGCCCACCCTTGTATGTCCATGGATTTGCTAATGTTTGTTTCATTGGTCAGAGTCCCAATTTAAATTCACTTCTCTATATTCTAGAGTCTTGATATTTTAATAAAGTCAGGAACAAGCTGCTGTCTTCTTGTATTCTACTCAAAGAGCTGGTATCCAAACCCCCTTGATGTGTAAACACTGTTGTCTCTTATATGAGAGGATAGAATAGGACTTACTGAAGAGAAACCACCTATCTAAGCCAAGCTATCTCCATGGGAAATGAGTAAACTGTACTGAACTGTAGAAAATTCATCAACAATGAATTATTGTTCATTATGTATTGTTCAAATGTATTATTTATTGTGAGGGCTTTTATTTTAGACAGTTTTTTGGTTTGTATCTGGCATCCATTCTGCAATTTTCAGTTAAGTAGAATACCTAACATGGAACTATTAAGTGCAGACTGGTTCAGCCACTGTGGAAAACAGTGTGGAATTTCCTCAGAAAACTAAAAATGGAACTGCCTTTTGAACCAGCAGTTCCACTGCTGGGAGTATACCCTAAGTACCCTGAAACACCAATTCAAAAGAACCTATGCACCCCAATGTTCATAGCACAATTTACAATAACCAAGTGCTGAAAGTAACCTAAGTGCCCATCAATAAATGAGTGGGTCAAAAAACTGTAGTACACTTACATGATGGAATACTACACAGCAGAAAGAAAGGAGCTCCTACCCTTCGCAACAACATGGATGGATCTGGAGAGCATTATGCTAAGTGAAATAAGTCAGGTGGTGAAAGACAAATACCATATGATCTCACCTATGTTGATTAGTGGAACCTAATCAACAAAACAGGTGAGCAAAATATAACCAGAGACATTGAAATAAAGAACAAATTGACAGTAACCAGAGGAGTTGCGGGGAGAGGAATAATGGGGAAAAATAGGTGAAGGTCAATCAAGGAACATGTGTAAAGAACATATGGACAAAGTCAATGGGGGTAGGATCAAGGGTGGGACGTGGAGATGGGTGGGGTGTAGGGGCATGGTGGGGTGAAAATGGAGACAACTGTACTTGAACAACAATAAAGAAAAAATTTTAAAAAGAACACATAGGAAAAATTAAGTTGAACATAACAATTATATCCAGAAGCTTCCAGATTCTCCCTTCTCATTATTCTTATCCTTTTCTATTTCTGGTCTGTCCCTCCCCTACTACTACTTTCTCAACCTCATATAGTCATTTGGTCTTCTAAAACTAAGTAACATAATCAGGGTTTATACTCACAAAGGGGAAAAAAGATAGGTGACAGAAAAGGCAGGAATGGCTAGGAAATTAAAAGAGTACTATATAGTCTCTCTACTTTCACCACTTGCCCTTGACCACCTAATTAAAGCTTTTTGTAGCATAAGAGAAGGTTTGAGTTCCAATAACCATACAGATTCATTTAACATAGTACGTTACTATTTATAAAGAGCCCTGAGTTTTAGATGTGATATTAAATCTGAGGTAGAGCTAGGGGATAGCACCTGACAATTCTCAGAGTGACTTCTAGAGTTAGTTTAAAATTCAGGTTTAAATACTACTTCATATATATTGTACATACTGTATATAATTTAATCCTCATAATGACTGCATCTTTTCTAGCCATTTTTTTTCATAAGAGGAATAGATATGCCTGACTCTTACCAACTTCTCTAAGTTTATTTCCTGGAATACTAAGGGCCATAGTCAGCAGAAATGAAACATTCTTTGGGGATTTTCAAAGGTACTACTGCCCTAGAAATTACTTTTGTCTATGGTTAGATTTACTTGTAGGATGCACAAAGCTCTTGTAACTTGTCTACTCTAGAAGGACTTAACAGTATTATTTTATAATAGAAATAGAAAATTGAAAGGTAGTATTCCTTTTTAGGAAATAAACACAAGCCACAGCCTTCCAGAAGTGGAAACCAGGCAACTGAATCCTGCTCAGATGTGTAAGAGCCAAGGCTACACTGTTCAGACATGTCATGCAGAGTGTCTATTTCATTGATGTTGGAGAAGCATATAATCTGTAATATATGAAAACCTTCCTTAGACTGTAAACCACAAGGGCAAGAATCATATCTTTTTTATCAACAGTTTTGTCTCCAGTATTTAGCACAATGCGTGGCACATAGTAGGTACTTAGTAAATATTTATTGAATGAATGGTATATAACATTGTAAACTTAGTCAATCTGGAGAGAAACAATCCTTAAAATTAATTTTATTTGTGGTGAGGGAAGATATATGAGGAAGATAATATCATTTTCTCAATTTAATATCTTTAATTTTTTTGGTTCTATTATTTTGTTGCATGTCTAAATGGAGTATATATTAAAGGGAAAGGATCTGGCTCCCAGATTAAGCTGACCATAAGGGACTACAAAGATTGTTGGGGTGACTTAGTGAAATGCCCTTAACAGAATAAAAGAGACTTTATACTGCAGCTGTTTGCTGATATTCAGAGGCAGAACTACCTATTTTTATCCCTTGGCCACATTCCAATGAACTGTTCCAGCAGATGGAGCAGAGGGTAAGAATTGGAAGGTTATCTTTCGAGTGGAGAGTGAAATTGCTAAGATATATAACCTCTGACTCAGATTTCTAGAAGGTGATGCAGCCAGGTTTGGAGATGCCTAGTCTGGTGCCTCTGACCGGTGCAGCTATGTGGTACTTTTGTTACCCTCTATACAATGTACTTAGATAACCGCCCTTTTCAACCTACCCTAACCTTACTATTAGCAATCAGAGCCATTTTATCCAAGAAAAAAGGTAGCTACCCATGGTCTCCAACTGTTTGTGTTAGTGAAAAGAAGCTACCTTTACATTTATAAAATTCAAGCCTATTATATTGGAAGTGTTTATCTACACACAAACCACACAGGAAAATCAGTCCCATTACCCCATAGTAATTTCCTGTGTTTTTAACTTAATAGTTTTGGCCAGAAATATCAAAAGAGAAAAAAGGAGGGACTTTTTACAAGTGTTAATTCATTTGTAGCTAAACATTCTGCCTGCCACCTATCTTAGGATGCTTTATACCTTTCTGGTTTTGTTTTTTCTGATTTCCTTTTCCTTGTGTAATTACAGCTTTGGATTTACAGATAAAGTAATAAAAAAGAGCCAGTGTCCCATCGGGGTCTTTGGTAATGGTTTCAAGTCAGGCTCCATGCGACTAGGAAAGGATGCTCTTGTCTTCACCAAGAACGGGGGTACCCTCACTGTTGGACTCCTGTCACAGACTTACCTGGAATATGTCCAGGCCCAGGCAGTTATTGTACCAATTGTTCCATTCAACCAGCAGAACAATATCCTTTCTGGAAATGGAGAACGTTAGTTAAAATTAGTCTAATTTGATGTTTTGATAGAAACCTTTTCAGGTCAAATCCAGCTATCAATTCAACTGTCTGAAATTTAACTTGAATTTCCCCTACTAAACAATTTTTAAAAATATAAGTGGACTATTGACAGAAACTTACAAAAGTTTTTGTTGTATAGAAAATGTCATTTTTATATTACCGATCTGTATCTCTGCCCCATCACCACTCCTTTGGTAAAGTACCTCCTCTTTTATTTTTCCCCAAAGGGTAGCTACATTTATATCACACACCTAGGAACATACTATTCATCAGTTTATCTGATTGCAGAATCATTCATTTTCCCATTCCTGGACAAGTTATTATTTCTGTTAGATAACAGGTCATTTTGACCCACAGAGTATAGCAATAAAATTTGAACTCATTGCTTCCAAAGAGTCTAAAAGTTCAGTCTTTGATCTATTTTTAAAATAGAACTGTCTTTTTTTTACGTTGTATCTTTGAAGCTATATTCTGCAGGGGTAACTGATTTTTGTGTTTGTTTCTATAGCCTTTTTTCATCTTGCCTTTTCCTTCTGTAGCAGCAATGCCCATGTTTTATATCTCTATGTCTATTTTTATCTAAACATGTAACTCAAAAGGCAGATCATTTTAACTAATAGCATTCTCTAAAAGCATTATTTTTTCTTTGACTATATTTGGTTTTACAAAAAATGATTATTACCGAGGATTCCTTGCCCAGCCTAGAAGCCATCTTGAACTATTCAATTTTCAACAGTGAAAATGACCTCCTGTCTCAGTTTGATGCCATCCCAGGCAAAAAAGGCACTCGTGTTATTATTTGGAATATACGCAGGTAAAGTACTTCAAGGGTGATAGATTCTGTTAAGTAAAGGTAGTATGATAAAGTATAAAGTATACTTTAATAAACCTCTAGAGATGCAGAGTAGTTAAATTTTGTTAGATATTTATATCTCATTGCATACTTTTTAACTTTCTTACAGCCACAGCTCAGTTTGAGATAGTGGTTCTTTTTTAAAAAAGTTTTTTTAATCCTCTCACCCAAGGATATTTTTATTGATTTTAGAAAGAGAGGAAGGGAGAAAGAAAGAGAGAGAACCATCGATGTGAGAGAGAAACATCGATCGGTTGTTTCCCATACGCGCCCCGACTGGGGATCGAACCCGCAACCTAGGTATGTGCTCTGACTGGGGATCGAACCCACAACCTTTTGGTGTATGGGATGACACTCCAACCAATTGAGCCATCCAGCCAGGGCGAGATAGTGGTTCTTACCAGCAAAATGTGGAGTTTGATAAGGTGGAAACATGAATATCCTGAGGCTATTGCCATAAATAATCAAGACATTTCAATGTTATTCTAAAATCTTTAGAGTCCATTATAAATATCTATTTTATATTCATGGACACTGTTTTGAGATAGGTAAATGATAGTTATTTAACTTATTTGACAATGAAAACAAAGTATGAAAAAGAGACTTAGGGTAACAAAGCAAGGCATGATCTTTAAAACTAAGGACCTCTGTGTTAGTGCTTTAGAGTAGCTGAGTTAGAAGTAGAAAAACCTTTGAAGTAGATAAATATGAACTGTAATGAGGCCAGCTTCAGGTCATGTGTTGAACACTAACAAAACAATCTAGAAATACTCTAGAATACATGATTTGTTTAATCTAGTTATGTCAAATGGAATATATTTAAGTGTCCACTAAAACCTAAAATCCTTTCATATAAAACAGAGGTGTTGTTTTTTATGTTTAGCAGAACAAAATGTGAGGTATATTTATTCTTTTTCTCTTTAAGTTAAGAATTTCACCTCAGTTCTTAACTGGGCTAAACTTATATAAAAGCCATGCTGGTTTGTATAGAAAATACTTTCAACTGAAAAGGACAAAAATGTAAGGAGGTTTTTTCACACATTGATAACTTAGATCTTCCTTTGTCCTGTTGGGAAAACCTCAAATAATATTATTTATCTTATAAAGGATCATTTTCCTGAGGTATTTTCAGTGATTTAAACACATTAAGTAGGCTTTTTTCTTTGTACATTGTTTCTGAATTATATAGTAGTAAGTGTTAATGTAAATAAAGGATTCCATGTTCACGTAACTTCAGGAAAAGCTGGCTTGAACAAAGTTTGCCATGTTGCTTTATTGCAGCACTTCTCAGAGGCTTTAATATGCTAATGTCATTCCAATATGCATGAAAATATGCAAGAGAACAATATAATATGCAATATTACCCAATTTCAAAAAAATTTTCTTCAGTGTCTTTTTCCTTGGATAGTAAATGGTGAGGGGCAAAGATAGAAAACCTCCTCAGTGTATGTGTTCGAGTGGGGTTGGGTAGCAAGAATCAGGATTTTCCCAGAAAATCCAGAATATTCTATTATAATGACATGGACTTTATAAATGCTACATACCATAATGGCTCTCGTTCAGCCTTGAAGAAGGAGCTACATTTCCATCACAGCAGCTCTGATCTTGCAAAGCCTGAAGTATAAGAAAGGTATCACTAGATCTTTGAGGTGGCTCTGGGGGCCTGGGATTATTTTTCAATTGTATTCACTCGTGCAACCAAGTTACCTTTCCTCCCTCTGTCCCTCCATCCCTCCCTCTCTTTCCTTGATTGCTTCCTCCCTTCCTCCCTTCCTTACTATTTAAGAGTATTTTGGGGGACTACTCTTCCACAGAACAAATTTTGGAAACTATTGTTCTGATGCATGTTTTCTCCATAACCCATCAGGAAACAAAGATGGGTCTTGGCTTTTTTCCCTGGCTGTTGTTAGTGGTATAACCCAGGATCTGGGAATGAACCACAGCTAAGTGACCCAAAAAGATTATGAGGAGAAAATTCCTTATGAAAAGAATATGATTACTATAATATTTAAATGATAATTCCATAAATAACCCTCTATAAAACTAGGAAATATATGCTATTTCTATAATAACCTTTTTTTCCTTCTAAGAAATAAGATCTGGGGAAATCTCAGTATCTCATTAGTCCTTCCATAATTGCTGAAATTAGAAGAAGTAGGTTTTGATTCATCTATTTATTCAGTTAGGGGAAATGACCTGCCCAACAATACCCAGAAAGTTGGGATCTATTATAAGGTTCTACTTCAAGGATAGCTGACAACCATTTGATTTATCAGATCACTTATACATACACCATCCATTTTTTTTTTCCTTTTGTACTTGGCATTACCACCTCTGTGAAACAGCAGATTTTTTTAGGCTTGAAATACCCTTAATATTGTGTTGTCTTCAAACTGAGTAATTTGTAGTTTAGTACTGGTAGTCAGGGAAAGAAATAGATATGCGAGTTTTGGCTCATATTGTTTCTTTTCTCTTGGGTTCCTAGTGCATTTTTGTCCTTTGGAACCAGTTTTTGTTAGATTGGTACTTGTCTCTTTTACCCAGAAATAAAGATGGAAAGTCTGAGTTGGACTTTGATACAGATCAATATGACATCCTGGTATCAGACTTTGGCACAGAAGAAAAAGAGACTGGTGGTGTTACCTCTGAACTGCCAGAAACAGAGTATTCCTTACGGGTGAGTAGAAATGGTTTTTCTTCGACAATGAGAGGTAAGAATTCCTGTAAATTCTACATGTAAAGAATTCCTGTAAAAATACATGAAAATCTATATAATAATATCTCATTTTAGTTATATAAAAATGACCACCTTTCAGCCCTGTATTAGGATTCTTTTTCACTGTCTGCCAAAACAGTTTAGTGAATAGATTTAGTATCATTTTGTATGGTAGTTGACAGTATAACATGGTATGGAAACTGAGCCAAATCTTTGTCTAGAATAAACCTCAGATGCCAGCAATGTTTTAAGGGGATGTCAGTAGAATTGACAATATTGTATAATAACTTTCCCTTCACTGTTCCATAGGCATTTTGTGGTATTCTGTATATGAAGCCACGAATGAAAATTTTTCTGCGTCAAAAGAAGGTGACTACCCAGATGATTGCCAAGAGCCTGGCCAATGTAGCATATGATATATATAAACCTACTTTTACAGTATCCTTACAAACTACATGAAGTTTACCTCTTCATTTCAGGATTATATTTCAACATTGGCACAGAAGAACAAAAACCTTTCCTTTGCATTTCTTAAATGCTGATCTATGTATTATTATTTATTTATTTATTTTTAGAAACCATCTGGAAATGATTAAAATAATATGGTCCTGAGACTTTGGAGATTCTGGTTCAGTAGATTCTGAAATCTCTTTTTTTTTAAAATAAGAAATATAATTTATTTTTAAATTCTCAGTTGATTCTAATGGGTAGCCAGGTTTGAGACTCTGCTTTAAGGTCCACACCATTTGGTTTGTATTGGAATTTTGTTATATATTACATTGATTGAAATAAGCAAAATATTGTCTAGAAATTGATAATCTTTTGGACATAGCATGATTTTCCTCATGACAAGTCCACACTTACGTTGATAGAAGTTAGGATAGTGGAAATTAAATCTTCAACAGGTTTGATGTGGATTTCCTGGTACTTCTCATAGTGGCAGCCACTCAGAGAAGTAAGTACTCACTTTCACTTCTATCCACCATTGCACTAGGAATAGATTTCAGGTACTTGAGAAAATCTTGAGATTATGGAAATTAAGTCTATATTTGTTCAAGGTTTTAGGGCCAAAAAAAGCCTTTGAGCAGCTGAGAACTCATAATCAATTATGAAGAATTGCTGTTATGATTTATTTTCTAGTAAATAAGCACAGCTCTTGGACTAAGAAACACTATTTATCAAAGGTGTTATTTTTCTTGCTTTGTCTTTCTTTCCCTGACCAAAAATTAGAAATTGTTTCCTTTTGTAAAAAGCTATGTAGTTGTTACTGTAAACAGATTGATTTTCTCCTTTTGGGAACAATACATTATCTATTAGGAAAGGTTTTTTTAAGCCTTAAATAAGCCCAGCTTAACAAAGCCAAAGATAGTACTGTTAGCATCTGTAGGTAAATTAGTTATATCACTGTATGTAGGTTAGGATATTGGTGGCATAGTTTTAACAGAACCAGTCTAAAAGAATTGTTTTCCACTGCATACTTTTCAAATATGCCACATTTCTGTCACCAGCTTCCATTTTTTATGGGTTTCTGGGTTTCTATCAGCGTGACTCCTATACATGCATTCTATTTGCACCTTAACTCTTTTTAGCCATCCTTCTAATTAAACTAGTTACCTTCTCTAATAGAGTTTGGGCTAAACAAATTCACTATAGAGATGTGTAAAATGAAACTCCTAATAACATTTCCTCCAAGGTCACTGAGGGACAAGATCACGGATGCTGACTTATTTATTCCCCAGCTATCAAAGGCTTCTTCTCTCTTCTTATCCTCTCTAATTTGAGGAACCTCCTACCCCAGTGTACTCTTTTCCCATAATTAACAATGTTAAAAGTATACCATAGAAATAAAGTATTTAACAATCTTTATCTTAAAAATGTTAATTTTTTTTTTGGCGGTGGCTGGTGTGGCTCAGTGGACTGAGCACTGGCCTGTGAACCAAAGGGTCACCAGTTCGATTCCCAGTCAGAGCACATGCCTGGGCTGCAGCTGGGTCCTTGGTAGGGAGTGCGCGAGGGGCCACCACACATTGATGTTTCTGTCCCTCTCTCTCTCCTTTCCCTTATTTCTAAAAATAAATAAAATCTTTTTAAAAAAGAATATTTGTAAAGCTATTACTATAGGCTTTTCAAATGCCCCCTAGAAAGGTTGTTCCAATTTATATAGGATGTTCTTTGGTATAATAGAATGCAAATTATTTTTTCTGAGAAAGCTGTGGGCATTTGTTTCCTTAATGATTTTCTTCTCAGAATAAGCAGGTGAAAATAACTTTTGGCTTCTCTTGCAAGAATAATAACCAATTTGGAGTAATGATGTATCACAACAATCGACTCATAAAGTCCTTTGAAAAGGTGGGATGCCAGGTGAAGGTGAGTGATTAATGTGTGGGGTTTTTTTTTGTTTTTTTTTTTTGGTCACAGAAGGCTGAAAACAGTAGGAAGAGAATTTAAAATTTGCAAAGGGGATTAAGTCATTAATGACTTTTTATCTTATCTTATGTTGGTAGTTAAATCTTACCCTAGAAGTTTATGTTACCAGTGAACCATCTTGTGTTGAAAAACTCTACTTGTCATTCTCCATAGATATCAGTCAACATGGAGACTTTACTGCATGCATTTTCTAGGTAGCTGTTAATAAGAGAATCAAAACACCAGCAACTCTGTCATGTGTAAGTTTATTAGTGTTGGTGGTAGCTTTTTATATTTTCTTGGGGAGACAATAAAGCATAGTGAAAGATGCATAAAATTTAGTGGTTGATGGTCAGGATTTGATTCTTGGCTTCTGTACTTAAAAGCTGTGCAACCTAGGCTAAATCACTTAATTTCTCTGAGGTTCAATTTCTTACCTGTAAAGTGGGAGCAGCAGTAATAATTTTACATGCTCTTCCTACCTTAGAGCTTACACAGTTGAGAGATTTAAATTGGATAAATTATGTGAAAATACCTTATAAACTGAACCATACAAATATTACCATCATCTTTAATGTTTTAATGACAATTTAAAGTGGTAACATCCACAAGTATTCCATTGATTGCTATTTTACAGATAAGATTGCTGAAGCACAAAAATGATAAAGTCCTTTATATTACACAGTAGGACAAACTTATATTAGACCCAGGATATCTAGTTTTCAGCCTATGTTGATTTTCCTTGTTATATTATCTCCACACAACTCATGTTTGTGTGCTAGTCTAATTATACCTTAACTTGGTTTCTTTCATTAAAGAATTAACACAAAAGATTTTTCAATGCAAAAATATCTTATGTCAACTTGTAATTAATAACCCTTCACGTCTGACTCACCTTAGTAGATTGGTGGCCTACATATATAAACAATGTTTATCTTATTAGAGTATGATGATTATGTAGCATCCTTAAAATATTTTGAGGTGAAGTTTGGTTTCAGTACTCTAAAACAGTAGTATATAACTTGGATGTTTTTTTAGCGGTGTCACTTTTTGTTCAAATGAAATCTTATGGCAATCCAAGAATATAAAACAGTTGAAAATGGAGGTAGTGTGAAAGAAGTAGAGATGGCTATTAATCCTTGGAAAATCCTAGCATATCTTTATATCATAGTTTGAAAATCTTGCCCTAGAATTTGCCAGAGGTTCCAGTTCAACGTAATATTTGCAGTCTATTGAAGTATATTCTGAGTGTTTCTCTAGACCTTACTGGTCTTACCTTGCCTATGAATGTTATGCAACCTTTCTGTTATTGTTTGGAATCAAAAGGAAATATCTCTAGGTAGTAAACAGGAACTTGAGTGTTTAAATTAATATTTTTTTTTCTAAGCCAACTCATGGAGAAGGTGTGGGAGTAATTGGAGTCATTGAGTGCAATTTCTTAAAACCTGCGTACAACAAACAAGACTTTGAGTACACCAAGGAGTACCGGTGAGTCATTCCCAACCTGAGGTATTTCTGATAGTTTGTTCAGATATGATTCTGTTCTATGAAACCTCTGAAAGCATCTCTAAACTTCAGATAGATAAATTAACTGGGAATTCCTTCAAATCTATTTTCCAGGATGAGAGAAAAAATGATTTGATTTTTATATAAAACCTTAATGATACATGATATATGGAGCTCAATTGAGATAAACCTTACCTTTAAAAATTACGTAAAGAGCATAGGATTCATTTAGTAAAATACTCTGGTGAAACAAAGAGCCTTGAAATTATCTTTTTTAAAAAATACATCATATATATTGTATTGTGTGTTCACCATCCAAAGTTAAGTCAATAAGGTTTTTCTTTTTTTGCTTAATGCCTTCACCTTTTCCACCCAGCCCCAATGCCCCTCCCCTCAGACAGCTGTCAGTCTGTTCTCTCTCTATGAGTCTATTTTGTTTTAGTTTATTTTGTTCATTAGATTTTTATGTTTTTTAAATTGTATTATTTATGGTATTACAGTTGTCCCAGTTTTCTGCCCTTTGCCCCCTTATCCTTTTCCCTCTCCCCCTACTCCCTCAGGTAATCCCAACACCATTGTCTATGTCCATGGATCATGTATATATGTTCTTTGGCTACTCTATTTTCTATGCTGTACTTTACATCTGCGTTACTATTCTGTAACTGCCAATCTGTCCTTCTTAATCACTTCACCTTTTTTATCCATCCTGCTGACTTCCTCCCATCTGGCAACCATCAAAACGTTCTCTGTATCTATGACTCTGTTTCTGTTCTGCTTATTCTACTGAAAAGAGATGAGTGGATCTGAAGTTATTGAATATATTCAGGGGAAAAGCAGCAGTTTGAAGTTTGTTCTAAAACATTGTCTTGAAGCCAGTGAGTAGACTGAGAGGAAATTATTCGAGCAGCAGGAAAGACACGTGTGTTTTCTTGGAAGCATCTATATTTAATAGGTAACACAAATAGGTAAGAATGAGAAAGTACTGGGCATTGAGGCCAAACCAGCAAGGATATTTTTAGGAGAACAAGGAAGGAGTTGTTGAAGCCAGGATATAATAGTTTGTTTTAAAACTTTGTGGAAGGAATTCATTTCTTCTTTCATCATATACTTTTAGATATCTCCTGTGTGCCATGTACTAGGGACATAATAATGAAAGAAGAATCCTTGATGTCTATGAACAAATGGATGAAGTACATGCAAATAAGAAAGTTAAATATCTATAAAATAATTGCTTTAATGGGGGAATATATACAAAATGGGAAGAAGCTTTAAATATTCCTATAGGAGTTGAAGAAGGCTTCAAAAAGCAGATTATATTTGAGCTTAAATTTTAAGGAAAAATTGGAGTTTTCTAGGTGGACAAATCGGGGAAGGGCATTCTAAGCAAAGGGAAGTATAGGCAAGGACACGAAAGAGCATGTGGTATTCTAGGAGTATGGAAAGATAAGGTATGAGGCCATGTTTGTTTTCCTTGAAGTCTCAGTAGCAGTTTTTTTTTATATGTGGTAAAAGTAATTCCCCAAATCTCCTTTTTATGTGTGTGTGCATGCCCAAAACTATTAGAAGTTAGGTAGGTCTTGTACCTTAATTTATGTGGACCCATATGAATTTTAAGATTAGTGCTTGACTAACAGACAACTATTTGGGTGGCAAACCAAATTAATTTTAGGGTAATTGGTTCTTGGTCAGTAGAGCTACTCAGTGGTTAATGGTGACTGTCATCAGTTTTAAGTAAAATGGTCTTTTATATATGAATCTGGCACATCATAGAGATCTTTGACTAGGACTTGACTCTTAAGAGTGAAAGTTTAGAAATGACATCAGTTTGACAGGTGTCTCAGAGCCAAAGTCATTTTATTTCTTTTCAGTAAAAGGATTAGTGACTTTCTGGTGATTAAGCAAGTAGTTGTGATTTTTGAAATCCAGCTGTTAAGATATCAAAAATTACTTAACATCTTCCTTTTAAATTTTTTTTAAATTCTCATCCAAGGATATATGTATTGATTTGAGAGAGAGAGAGAGAGAGAGAGAGAGAGAGAGAGAGAGAGAGAGAGAAAGAAAGAGAGAGAGAGAGAGAGAGAAACATCAATGTGAGAAACATCAATCAGTTCATTGCCTCCTGTGTGTGGCCAGACCGGGGATTGAACCCGCAACCTAGGTATGTGCCCTGATCGGGAATCAAACCCACAGCCTTTTGGTGTATGTGATGATGCCCCAACAACTGAGCAACCCAGCCAGGGCACTACACATATTTCTTATATCATCTGTGTCAAACTCGATGTACCTTTTAAATTTTAGAGGTTTTAGACCCTTGGTTTGTGATGTTTAGTTTCAGTATGAGTTTGTAGTGATTGCAGGGGATCCAGATATAGTTCATCACCGGTAGGTTTATTCAGTTAAACATATAGGATTTCTGGCTTGAGCGGCTTAATAATCTGCTACACATTTTATTAAAAACAGAAAACTGGTATACTATTCTGCATGTAGAATCTTTTGAGGATAAAAATTTACGTAATTCCTGTTCCATTTCTTGCATCAATTTCCTTTTTTACTCAATATATTTTTTATAAAATGAAAAGGTGTTCATTTAAAAATAAGGAAATTTGATTGGAGTATTAAAGAAGGTTGTCTGCTATTACAAATTCATCCTAAGAGTATGATGCGTGTGAGAACTGCAATAGTAACAGAGATAACAACCATCGTACTGCTGGAATGTCTTCAAATAAATCAGCTATAATATCAGTTTTAATAGTTGTGGATATCAGATTTCAACAGCAACTATCAGGGCTCAAATTTATAACATTATTAGAGTAAATTTCAGCTTCAGAAGTACAATCAACCCTGGCCAAGTGGATCAGTTGTTTGGAGCATCATCCTGTGCACCAAAAGGTTGCAGGTTCGCTCCCTGGTTGAGGTGTGTTCAGGAGGCAACTGATCAATGTGTGTGTGTCTCTCTCCCCACTCTCCCTCACCTCTCTCCTTTCTCTCTAAAATCAATAAACATATCTTAAGGTGAGGATATAAAAAACTTCAGTCAACACATATTGAGTACCACACTTTTGCATGGCACAGTGGCTAGGCTTTTTGGAATTTTCTAAAGGATTAGGGGAAAGTCCATCAAGGAACATGTATAAAGGACACACGGACAAAGCCATAGGGGGTAGGTTCGACAGTGGAAGGAGGGAGGGGATGGGTGGGGAGCCGGGTTGTGGTGGGGTGAAAATGGAGACAACTGTACTTGAACAACAATTAAAAAAAGAAGGAACTACTATAAAGGACACATGGACAAATCCAAGGGGGAGGGTGGGAGCAAGGGACGGAGGTGGGTTTGGCTGGGGTGGGGGGGAGTGAGAGTAGAAAATGCAGACAACTGTAATTTAACAACAATAACATAATTTAAAAAAGAGATATGGTTCCTGTCTTTGAGGAGCTTATAGTCTATATGTAATAGTGGATTATGATATACATGAAACAATTTATAGAGTAATAAAATGGCTGTTTGATCAGTCAAAACCTAAGTGGTATGGTGTAGGAAAAATGTCCTTAGAAAAGAGATAGGGAAGGTTTTGGGTAGAAAATATGACTTAATATTTGCCTTAAAGGACACAGGATTTAGAAAAGGGAAGGAAGGGAACTCCAGGATGGAATTATAGCATGAGCTAAGGTAGTGACATGAGTTCAGAATGGTAAAAATATAGGGAGTAAGGGTAAAGGGATGTAACTGGGAGTGAGGGAAATAAAGGCAAATGGATAGAGTAGGGACATATTTTAGAGCATGCATTGGTAAACTTTTCCTGTGAAGGGACAGGAGGTAAATGTTTTAGGCTTTGTAGGCCATGTGGTCTCTGTCACAACTACTCAGTTCTGCTGCGGTATGAAAGCACCCATAGGCAAAAACAAGCAGTAGGCTGGATTGGGGCCACAGGCTGTAGTTTGCTGACCCCTGTGGTAGAGCCACAGTTCCTAAACTATATGCTGAGCTGTACATAATGAACTCACAGTGGAACCATACGATATTTTAATTTCTTGAGGGAAATGCAGTGATATTTGACTTCTGTTTATAAACAATAGAAATTGTTTTCTATTGCTGTCATAACAAATTACCACAAACTTAGTGGTTTAAGACAACACTAATTTTATCTTAGACAGAGTTCTGTACATTAGAAGTTCAATACAGATCCCACTGGGCTAAAATCAAGGTGTTGGCAAGGCTGCATTCCTTTCTGGAGGTTAGGAGAGAATGTATCTCTTTGCCTTTTTCAGCTTCTTGAAGCTGCCAGCATTCCTTGACCCATAGCCCTCTTCTTCCATCTTCAAAGCCATCAATGGTAGGCTGAGTTCTCACATCACATGACTCCAGTGACCTTGCTTCTATCATCATATATGTGATTCTGACTCTCTGCCACATTCTTCCACTTTTAAGGACCCTTGTGATTATATGACAATTCTATATAATCTCTCCATTTTAAGGCCAGCTGATGAATAACCTTGATTTCATCAGCAATCTTAATTTCCTCTTTCTGTGTAACCTAATATATTCATAGGTTTCAGGGATTAAATGTCCTTGAAGGACCATTATTCTGCCTATCACATTTCACCCTCTGGCCCTTTAATATCTCACATGCAAATACACCCCATGCCAAGATTCCCCAAAGTCTCAACTATTACAACTCAAAGTCTAAACTCTCATCTTAATGTCATCTGCTCAAAATTCCAAAATTTCGTCATCTAAATCAGGTATGGGTGATTCTCTGTATCTGATGCATCATCAAGTAATATCCCTTTCCATCTATAAGCATGTCTGTTTTATTTTCATATTTTGCTCCCAAACACAATGGAGGGACAGGCATGGGATGCCAGTTATAGGTATTCTTGTTCAAATGGGGAGAAAACTGAAGGAAAAAGGAATCTCTGGTCCCAAGCAATTTAAAAATCTAGCCAAGTTAACTCCATTAAATTTCAAGACCTGGGAGGAATCTTCT